GGAGACCCAAAGCCCCAGGCGCCCAAGGGGACCCCAGAAGCGAAGGCACCAAGGCGGGGCCAGCCCCGGAAACCAGACCCCACCAAGGCAGGAGGAGAGACAGCCACGAAGAAGCCCCCCAACCACCGCCATGCCGGTGCCCCGGGGAGCCGCGGGGAATAGTCCGCGGGCCCCGCCGGCAGCCGGCCACCCCGAAGTAGGGCCGGGCACCGAACACCAGCCCCCCCACGGCGCCGACAGAAACGCCCCAGCCCCACAGAGCACCGAAACACGCCCCGGCCCCCAGCACCAAGCCCCGGCGACCGGCCGCAACACCCACCGCGACCGCACCACCCAGGAAAAACACTCAGGCGGCCCCGCCCCCGGCCGGGGCCCATGCGCATCCGCCACGAACCGGCCGCGAGCGCCGCGGGACCCCCCCCAAAACGCCCCCCCCGGCCAAAAGCGCAGCCCCACCCCACCGAGACCGATGCCAACAGCGCGCAGCGAAACACACCGCGCACAGAATCAGCCCGAGAGCAGAAAAGCCGCCCGGCGCAAAACCGCAAGAAGAGCAGACCGCAGCCGGCGCAACCACCCCCCCAGCAGCCCGAGGGGCAGCACAAAGCCAGAGCGGAGCGAACCGTGCCGCCCCCCCCACCGGACGAAGCCAAAGCAGCTCAGCCACGCCCGCCGCCCCCGCCGCCCGCACCAGGCCCTGACACGCGGCCAGAGCAGCTCCGCCGCCCCGGCCCCCCAACACGCGCCGGCCATAGCCACTCCAGGCCCCCACCCGCCCCGCAGCCCCACCCGCCGCGATCAGCGGGAACAGAGCAGCCCCGCCATGCCTCCAGGAGGGAAAACCCACCCAAATACCCAGCCAGCGCAGCCAGCCCGCCCAGACCGGCCCCCCAACACCACCCCCGCCGGAGCCGCCCGGACCCCCACACACCAGCGGCGCGCCGCCAGCAGGACCCCCACCCAGCAGGCCCGCCCACCCCCCGAGAAAACAGACATGCCAAACCCCCCCAAAAAACTTAAAAAAAAAAACAAAACAAAAAAACAAAACAAAAAAAGGGAGCCCCCACAATGCGACAGCGGACACCAGACACCGACCCGCCCGCAACCACTCCCCCCCACCGAGGAAGAGAAAAAAAAAAGAAAAAAAGACATAAATAAATAGGTAAATAAATAAATTAATTAATAAATTAATAATTACAATTAAAATAAATAGGCAAGAGGAGAAGTGCGAGCGGAAAAACCGGAGCCCAAAACAGGACCCAAGACCCGCACCCCACCATGCCGTGCAGCCCCCCCCCCCGAACCGATACCACAGAACCGGCATAGGAAAGAAACACCGCCCAGTAACCGGCATCGTAGCGAAGGCACCGGCACCGACCCCGAAAATCCCCGAACAACACCCAGCCCCACCCCGAAGCGGATCCAGTCCCAGGCCCCAGGGATCCGAGGCCCCAAGGGCACCCGATCCCCAGACGGGAGCCGCAGCAAAGCCCCGGCCGGCCGGGGCCAGCGGAGAGGCCGCCAGGAATGAGCCAGCAGTCCCCCGGGCATCCACCCCCAGCTCCACCAGTGCACCGGTGAGCCCCGACGCCAGCCAGCGGAGGGAGAGCAGGACAGGGGGAATGGGCTCCGCACTTAGCGGAGACTTGAGATGTATTTGGGAGAGGGTGCGGTTGAGACCCCAACCTTGGAAAAAAAAAAAAAAACCATCTCAAAAAAAAAAACAACACACCATCTCAATCATGCCTTCCCTCCCTAGTGCCCCCACTCGTACCACAGGGGAAAAAAAAAATAATTTGAATAAAATAATAATAATAATAAATAAAGAAAATAACAACGTGGACACACATTCACACATAACACTCACATCCAATAATACCAGGACCAAAAACCCGGTGACACCGGTGGTCGGTCCGATTCTTGAAAATCTTGAAAATGTCTTACGTTAATGTAAATCAACATTTTATGGCTTTTTCTTTCCTGTTTGTAAAAACAATAATTCTTATAATGTGATGACTCACTTAGGTGCATTAAACGCATTTACTAAATCGGTATTTAATGCTGAGAACAAAGGCCTTTCACTGAAGTGTTTTATCTAAATGTAACATCTTTGTTACTCAAAGCTGGATTGTTTCTTCAAAGAGTAAAATAGTAATTTCAATATATTTTTCAAGTACCTACAGCTTATTGTATCAGGGAAGCAATTAAACATCTTAGCATATGCTCAATCAACTAATTAAATGTTTTTTTGGTAAAAAAAAAAAATACATTTAGTGATAAAAGCGTGAGCTTATTTACCAACTTTCACAGGTTTCATCTTGTAATGAGAATTTGCTGCAAATGCTTTGGCAGCCTTATGGTCAATTAATGCTTCTGACACTTAGCCTCTTCAACCATCAAATCTGTCTCTGTGCGACCACGCCCCCCGCGCAGAGGTTCTGCAACTCTTGTCACGCATATCAAAAAAATCCTGAAAAAGGATCCTGAAAAAGCAGCTGTGATTGGTCCTTGGTATGCCTTTCAGGCTGTCTGTGTGGTCGTCCTTCCAGATTTGGTGCCGATTTTTAAAAACCGAGGAACAACTACCATGGACAGCTACGACAAAAGGTTCATTGGTCTTTTTGCCAACTCCATTAACGGAACCTTTTCTTCTTCAATGTCTAGCAACTCTACATCCATCTCCATTACCGTGATGTTTTGGAAAACAAACACTCCTGCCGGCGCCGCCAAAGTTCTCGCAGGTTCTCGAATAGACTCCCCTTAGCGCTTTGGCGGGAAACTGCTGTGTGTCCCTAGAAATTCCAGACCGATGGTGCAGAAGCATACCAGCAAAACTAGTTCCCAACCAGACCCAAGCGACATTTGATTTGTGCGGTTGCAGAAGTCTAATCTGCCCTTTATCCTTCATTCAGCCTGCTCGCTATTAAAGCAGCAGAAGCAACTGGTTTACATGCAAAGTCAATAGTTGGCACACATCGAGAAGCATGTTTCGAGCAGCAGGAGCAGCGTGTCTGATCAGCAGAGCAGAGCATCTTGACGCATCTGAGCAGCTGAAGCAGCACCTCATGAGCTTCTGAGCATTTGACGCGCATGATACACTTCACAAGCAGAAGCTGCTCGAGTTTGAAAATTTTACTTTAGCTGCTCAGCGTGCCACATCAACCAATCAGAGAAGCTTTTCTGGGAGCTGGCCCGGAGACAGACAAAGTGCTGCTAATGCAGAGAGCTATGCTCACTCCCCTGAAACAGCTTATTAATGCCTAAATTATCTTAAAATGTTGGAACCTGTCAGCAAAACATGTTCGCTTTTATTATTCTGGCACGTGCAGTTTGGATGACGTACAAGAAAACTGCTAACATCTCCTTCCAGCTGCAAAAAAGCAGAGGATAACCTCCAAAAGGCGACTGGGCCAGAGGCAGCTGTTGTTGGGGATTTCCAGTGACAGCGCACCGCCAGTGAACAGGGGTTTCGTACTGGTCCGACAGCGATTTGATGGCAGGATTGTAATCTTGATTAATTCACTGCACATATGATGTTTTGCTATTGAACGCAGGAGCAGCAGAAACATCAGACGCATCTGTATACACTTTACTGGATGCGCTTCAGGAGCGTCAAAAAATGCTATTCAGGCCCGTCTGACCTTTATGTGAACAAGTATCAAAAATAAAGTAGCAGAAGATTTTTTGCTGCTTCTATCGAGTGTAGTCTGAATGTAGCATTAGATGGTACTTTACACCCAATACCATGGTATCATTATAGTGTCTTTTGACATCCTTCAAATCCTGCTTTTTTCTAACATACCTACTGTAAAGTACAGGGTGATGCTATATTCCATTTTATCGTCAGCTAGTGTTAATCCAACTATCAAAACTTTCCCATTAATGCAAAGGCAAGGCACAGAAACTTTTCTTTTGAACTCCCTGTGTAAGTGGAAGTTGACATTTCCCATAGTTTAGGATAAACAACTATTATTGAATCTGATAGATTATGACACCTGATTTCTCGTTTGGAGATAATATTTTCTGGGGTCTCTTAAATTGTTTTCTTGGAGACAAAGACGTTTTTTGGTTGATTTTTTAACATGTTTAGATTCTAAGTCTAAATTTTTACCTTAATAAATACGGACAGAGTTCATGCAGAAAGTCCAATCCATTAATGTTTTACATATAACCTAAAGAGTGTTCAATGGTAATATTATTTTAAATAACCATCCTGCATCATAATTTGCTGAAAATTCCTTTCAGTTTAACAAAGGACATCACAACAGCTTGCATGGAACAAAACCATAAATATAAATTTAAATAAATTTGCATTTTGATGAGCTCATCATATCCGAGGGATGTTTTCAGAGAAGAAGCCAAGCAAAAGAAGCTACAAAAACACACAACTGAATAATGAAAAAATATTAAGTTATATTTGGGATTTCAGATTAGGATAAACTGCTTAGATCTCCAGAGCTCGACCGTGTGTTGATCAAACACATTTAACCTAAAAGTTAAGACTAAAGCATGCAACAAACATAAACAGATAAAATCCCCACCATTCTACTTGAAACTCAAGTTAATAAACATGTCATTGTTTAATCCACAATGTCCACTAATGACTAAAGTAACACCTGTGGAACACTGCTGGGACTTGGTTGCACAGCGAGCAGTGCACACAAACAGAGAAACGCTTTGGCCTCCAGCTAAATTCTACCCCACAGATGAAGACAAATGTAACCACAGCTGAGTGCTGGCTCTGTAATTAAACAGAGACATTGGGTCAGGAATCCCAGAACTCAGGCTTGCTTGCGTGAGATGGAAAGGTACATTTTACTCTCTTAAAATTTGTAATACAGAAAGAAAGAGATGATTAATGTAATTAAAACAAACAAAAAATGTTATGCATTTCATAATAGATTAAAGTAGAATGGGAACCAGCTGCTTCGGAGATGGGTAATGACCATGTTAGCGGAAAGACAATGCAGAAAACACAAAAAAGCTGAAGACTACCTTACCTTTCCAAAGCTCCCTTTTCCAATGGCCCGCAAAATTTGAAAATGGTCGAAGTTTACTGTAACAAAACAAAGAACAGAAGCATAGTAAAGAGATCAGTAAACTCTCTGAGCAATTGCAAAAAGAGCTTCGGTCTTGACATGAAACATGATTCATTCATTTGACAGATTACCAGCACAAGTAGTTCATTTTTAAATGGCTGGCCTCATATTACATGATTAGTAGCAAATATTTTAAAACTGACAACTGATTGAAGTGTAAAACTCACATACAAGCACATTTCGTGCTTGTATACAAGCGCAGATCTAATGTAAGGCATGTGTCATTTTATTGTGAAATGGTTTTATATACAGTATATATATATATATATATATATATATATATATATATATATATATATATATATATATATATATATATATATATATATATATATATATATATATAAAACCTTGGAGGAAAAAGGCCCTTTTCATGCCCTGTATTTTGCTACAAATATGGCAAAATAAAACCTTAACATCAAGGTGTCCTGGAGTTTCAGACTTTAAACTCCAGGCAACACACCAAAAAATGCTAGTTATTAAAGGAATAGTACACCCAAAACATGATTAGCCTTCATTTTCTACTCACCCCCATGCTGAACAACACTCTGGAGTACTTTTTTGATATCTCAAATGCATCTGGAGATCTGGGAGGCTTCTTGCTGTCTGCTGACATTCAAATAATGGAGGTCTATGGTGCCCGAGGCAGAAAGGTCCATAAAAGTCCACAAAAAAACGTGTCAATATTCAGCTCGGCAAAGAACTCATGCTCTTCCTCAACACTGAAGTCCTCAGACATTTTTCTTTCGTTGTTTCTTTCTTTGCACAGATAAACAGCACATTTCTTCTTCTACGCTTGCATTATCGGCAGAGCAGACGCTGAATGCGCACTTTCATCTGGTTTGGTCTGCCGCGGTTTCCGTAGACTCGTGAACGCGCTTTTAGGAAATCCTATACACTACTGTTTATGCTCTAAAAACATTCTAAATGACTTCGTTTCAAGTAAATTATGGATGCTACCCACTCAGGACACTTGGAATACATTGGACGAGCAGTATGGAGGAATATTGACACGTTTTTTTGTGGACTTTTATGGACCTTTCTGTCTCAGGCACCATAGACCTCCATTATTTGAATGTCAGCAGACAGCAAGAAGCCTCCCAGATCTCCAGATGCATTTGAGATATCAAAAAAGTACTCCAGAGTGTTGTTCAGCATGGGGGTGAGTAGAAAATGAAGGCTAATCATGTTTTGGGTGTACTATTCCTTTAAGGTGCCTCGAAGGCTAGTGGAATGTAGATATATTCTGACAAATTATGTCAGAATGGACCACTTGTGGCTTATTTGACACAACAGTAGACTCAGAGACTCAGAGATTAGATCTATAGAGAGCAATATGCTTTGTCTGTGTTGAGAAAAGCCTTCTGGGCTTGATCTGGTAGTGCAAAGGACACTGACTGGATTTGAGGAGGTTTGTCACTCCAAACATCAAATAACATCCTTAAATATCTACAGTATACAGTGAAGGGCTCATTATGCTTGATGCAGAGACATTCCGCATGGAAAATTAGTCACCTGTCAAAGCCTCTGCAGCTTTTATACTCTGTGCTTCTTTCCCTCTGTTCGTCTCACTACACGAGGAAGTGGAAAACACAGCTGTTTACAACAACATGATATTTAGTTTATGAAATATTTTCATGTTGAAGGCTTTGTATGAATGTAGCTTATAAATTTCCCAGAGGTGCATCATACAAAGTTTATTTTTGCTTAATGTATCTATGTTGTTCAGCGTCCTGTGTCCTTCTCTCTTCAGCTCGCCTCAAAGGCTGCAGCAAAAATGTACGCCAGTGGACTGACTTCATCAGAAAAAAAGTGCTATTATGAGAAGAAAAATGGAAGAGCTGTTATTTACCCTTGTACAGACGAATGACCAGTTGCTCCAGTTAATAGCTGTTATATTGAGTTGCTCAAGCAAGACTCCTTTTTGGTTTTGGAAATAGAAATAACTGTGTTTTATTTTCTAAAAGTTCAGGTAAGCTGTCTATGAATTGCATGTTACCTACTGACAACATCTAGCCGTTTGTTTTTTTTTATTCTCATGTCTGCTTTGACTACTTATTCAAAATCCAGGTAAAGTTGTCTGATTTCGCTCATGCAGTGGAGGGCCATTTTACTAAGGGACAAATCAAGGTTGCTGATGGTCAGTTCCTAACGTGCCTCATGGGTTGATTCACAGGTGGTGCCACATTAATTGATCAAACTTGGATAAATAAAGCAAGCGTTTTCGTAGAAACCATGACCAAAACCATGTTCATTTAATTAGAGCAAAAATAAATTCTAAATCAGAATATGGACAATACTTGATCTACAAAACATACATGTTATACCAGTCTTGCATAGGCTATCCGTTTTACCAAAATTCTGAGTAATTTTGTTTTTTTTTAGCATTTTGGTCCATGTGTGAAAAGCTGGGACACCCCTATTATTCATCCTTGGTAATCCCACATAGCCATTTTATGGGTCTTGAATAATTTTACACTTTGTTGAACTGAGCAAGTTGTTTTTAATATAAATGTTAATAAAAGCAGATTCATGGCAATTAATTGGATTCATATCTAAACAGAGACCAAATGACAGAATGAGACTGTGACAAGCATTACAGGATTCTGTGTGACCATTTATTTATCAAATTCACTGCAAATTACATGCTTTATTAAAACATGCCTATTTAATTTCATAGAATTATCCTTTTTGTTTTAATAAAAGCATTGTTGAATTTTGTGTCAAACTGGAACAGCAAAAAACAACATAGTATATTTGCTGTTTTCCTTTTTAAGTAAAAATTAACATAAACAAACAAATAACATGTTTTATATATTAAGAGCAAGGGCTTAGCAGCAATTCATCATCTTAACAGCCCGAGGCAGAGGTTCAATTTCTTTTGTTCTAAGACCCAAAAGACAAATACAACTCTGGTTATTTAATCAACAAATAAAGCAAATGCTTTTTATATACTAATTATGCGAAGCCTGGGTACTTTTTTAAGGGGTTTTACAGATTTAAAGAAGTTTATTAACTCAAAGCAAAGAAAAAAATGTATTCTGTAATAAAAAATGTTCAGATCCAGTGACTAGAATAAAACAAATCTTTATCTTTGGAGGATCTTTTGCTCTAAATTCAAAGAGAATCATTTAACAACCTCTGCAGTAAAAATGTACCTTAAAGTGGCAAAGGGTTTTGGATTCCAGGCTTTGCATGATAGTAAAAAAAAATGAACTCTGTGGGAGAGAAATACACCATTTTGAAAAATTAAAGGCTTAAGATATTGAAAAACCCTTGACATTATAAAGAACGAAGAAAGCATCAAGAAAAACTTCATCTAAGGTCCTCTAAAACCTGAACATCAAAGCAACAGCAGAAGATTTTTTTTTTTTTTTCCGGGAAAACATCAGACTTTTTAGTTTATCCTTTTAATCTGCCTTAATATGGAGTCCATCATGCCATGAGATGTCTTGTTTCATCAGCTTCTTCAGTGATCGTACGTGCTCTTTGGATTGATAGAATCATCTTGTGTGCTCTGTAAAATATGTTGAGAGCAGGGAAATAACCAGCAATGGGTGGTGAGGAAGTGGAAAAAGTCTTTGATAAAGAATTCCTGCTTGCAAACAGAAAAACCTCTGTTACATAAAAAAAAAAGATGTACAAAAAAAATACTAAATTATTCTGATATGAAAAGGTTTCTTTTGAGACTTTACAGATTCTTAACGCTTAAACACAGAAGAAATTGCTAAAAATATAAAATAAAAGAAAGTGTTTAATTATTCCAGAAAAATCACCATTGTAACTGATAGCAAGAATTGTGCAATTATTCAAATCTCTGATTAGGTAGCTATGAACTGCATTAATAAAACAAAACTGTGAGGCTACAAGTTTGAATTTAGATTTTACTAACGCTAAAGTTTAAAGGTATAGTAAAGGATGTTGTTTTTCTGGGTGGATCATCAAAATAACTGGTCCTCCTATTTGTAAATCATCCTGGTAATATGTTTACATAAGGCCGTCCTACATTCTTGCCCCCATTTTCACGTACCGATGGAGAGTCTGACACAGTGGAAAAATTGCAAACCTTGTTATGGAAAGTAAGGTTGTATGAGCGATGCAAACAACAACTTTTAAAGAGAGTATACACAAGGAGAAATGGGCTCCTGCATGCATTTAATAGGCATTCTCTCTTTGGATCAGGCCAGGGTTCTGCATGTGCATTTTTTTTTAAAGCTGAGAAGGCGGGTCTTTTTATTTTTATTTCGAAAATTCTCCACTTTACCTTTAATTGTGGTATGCTAGGAGGTGTGTGATGTCATGTATTGTGACCTAGAAGGTGTGTGATGTCCTGTATTGCAAGCTAGGAAGTGTGTGATGTCATGTATTGCAAGCTAGGAGTTTTGTGATGTCATGTACATACAGTCAAATTTTGAATCAATTTGACTGTATGATCTGGTTGAACTGTAAATGTGCCTTGAGATAACATGTGTTGTGAATTTGGCACTATATAAATAAACTGAACTGAATTAAATTGAATTGAATTGAAATGTATTGCAAGCTAGGAGGTGTGTGATGTCATGTATTGCAAGCTAGGTGTGTGATGTCATGTACATACAGTCAAATTTTTAATCAATTTGACTGTATGATCTGGTTGAACTGTAAAGTGTCTTGAGATGACATGTGTTGTGAATTTGGCACTATATAAATAAACTGAATTGAATTCAAATGTATTGCAAGCTAGGAGGTGTATGATGTCATGTATTGCAAGCTAGGAGGTATGTGATGTCATGTATTGCAGGCTAGGAGGTGTGTGATGTCATGTATTGCAAGCTAGGAGGTGTGTGATGTCATGTATTGCAAGCTAGGAGGTGTGTGATGTCATGTACATACTGTACAGTCAAAATTTGAATAAATTTGACTGTATGATCTGGTTGAACTGTAAAGTGCCTTGAGATGACATGGTTGTGGATTTGGC